AGCTGTTCCTAGAAGATAACTATGTCGTTGGGACCATGCTCCCAAGGGAAGTTTCCAGTGGGGGGCTGTAGACCAGGTCCCTAGGGAGGTGAAAATAGCGGATTAGAGACCTGAGTCTCTCCGCCGTCATGGAGGAAGGGCCGAAAGTGTCAGACTCCCTCCCCTGGAAAGTAGATGCTACATCATCGAAGGTCTCTCGAGCCTCCGAGACCTGCTCCCAAGCTCCCCCCAAGCTCAAGGGAGCATCGTCATCCTAGTTATTGCCCCGGTGGTAGGTGTGGTATGGGTACCCAGACATGGTTGGAGTAAACTGAGAAACTCGGGTAGACAAAATGAATGCGTGACCTCAAAATCCGAAGGCAGCAAAATAGCATGGAAGGGAATGAGGCCCAGGGGGTCCTCTTATTTATAGCCACTGAACCCCCGAATCGACGGCCTAGATCGAAGCATATCTGACGGCAAGCAGTCAAACAGACCGCACGTCTTCTGAAACCGAAATGTGACTGGCTGCACGTATCCCATGATTGGGGTAATGATGGCTGCACGACATCCGGAGTTAAGAGCCGCTTCAGCACGTTTTCAGTATTCAAAAAGTTAGAAAATCCTCTGATTCCCGCGCAGGCATTTAATATGAGCAGTCAATCAAGTTTGAATTTCAGTCAAATCAATCTGTCACACTCCATGAACTCCTCGCGTTAAGGAAACACTCTTAGCTCGAGGAGTGGGGGGCAATTGAAGGAGGATGATTTGACCCGACCTACTGAGATGATGACACGTGGACCTGACTCAGCACGAGCAACAGCTCAGCAACCTGGCTTGACCGCAACCGAGTAACGAGTCTATAGAACAGCTCGCTACGTCATAGCTCTCTATAGGAGGAGCTCGCTACAACGCGATCTCCAGATCCCCCGAGCTACTGAGAAGGGAATACTCCAGGACTATTTCAGCTTGCGAGCTAGGGAAACTAGCTCGCTCCAGCACCCGTGTAGAAGAACTGCCCCAAAGGCCAACCTTGATGAGGGTCACCTTGAAGTACCCCTAAGAGCTTGCTACAAGGTAGCTCGCGGCAAGTATAGCCCACTACGAAGTAACTTGCGACTATGATGCGACGCTCTCAGGAAGCTTCCATCTGACAAGACCGTACTCGTCAGACTTTGCCACGTCTCTCAACTGACGGCGCAGTCCCTGCCCGATTGATAGTCTGCCCCATGTCTCTCGACAGATGGTGGCGTGCCTATCCCTTCGGAGACGTGTCACTCAGCCAAGCACGTAGTACATTGTAACGATCACCTGCGCAGCCCTGGCAGGTAACAGCTGCGACAGGAGCCCAGTAGTGGTTACACCTGATTTGACAAGAACACCCCTATAAAAGACCTTAAAGCGGAGAGGCTCTCTCTCTTTGGCTCTCAGAATTAGATCTGAACTTGCACTCTTACTCGCTCACGAGCTAATCTCGAGACGTAGTGATCCAGCGCGATCTACACTCTTAGCCTTTTGTATTCTCTCTTCTTCCTCCCCAGCGTTCTAACTTAAGCTTCGGAGTATTCCCGCCAAGTAAATCCCCGGGGATCCTTCTTCTTCATCTTCTCAGGTGTCGTTCATTACCAACAAGGAGCCAATCAACAGCCAATTAGGAGTGTCCGGATCGTGCCGCATCAGAAACCCTCCTGCAACATCAACTAAAAGTGTCTAAAACACAAACAGAGAAAGAAAATGCAAAAAAACAGAGGTTCATGCTAGCTTTGCTCTTCACAGTTCGCACAATCGACGTACAACGGTCCAAGTTCTAGATTGTCTATCATGGAAGTACCTTTAATAATTGGACAATTGATTTTTTTTTTGTTGTAAATGAGTATTTTTCTTATTCTGTCGTGGCTCAGCGAATAGTGATAACTGATAATTCTGAACAGTGCATTCAGAGACGATGAGCAGTGTCGTCTTCTCGATTCAAGATGTCGTTTGCCTTGAGGGGGAGTTGCGTACAGTGAAAGGTAGTCTTATAGTCGGCCATCGATTTTGATATCGTTGCGTACGTTGATTGCTCATTTTGGAAGCACCAAGTTCTGGGATTCATTTGATAAAGAAAATTAGATGAAATTTAAGGGGTATTTGTGTCTTTTTCCATGGCACTTAACGGTGAGTTAACGCCAGATACTAGATTGTCGCAAAATGAAAATTCATGTAATAGATTGTTGCATTTTAAAGTTCGAGTACTAAATTAGCATTCGACCTAAAATACAAGATACCTATCAAGGAATTTATTTACCAAAGTCCAAACTTAGAAGTAGAAACTTATCTAAACATAGGCTTATGCCCCGCTTGGCATGTCTTTTTGTGTCTTTCTCGCTTTATTCTTGTATAGAAAGACAGGCAAAGAAGTGTGATAACCAAATTAGCTTCAGACTGCTCAAATCTTCTTATAAAAATTTAATACATCTTTTGACTGTCAGAACTACCAAGCCCTGTGTTTTGAAAATCGAATTGGACGTTGAAGTTGAACCTTTGAGAAGCTGGACGGGGAAAGATGCCGATTTTCATTTTCACCTAAAGTCGTTAAAGCATCAACCGAAACTGGACATTACCTAGCTAGTTTACCAAGGACCCCCAAAATTTGGGCCCTTATTGTTCTTTCGGCCCAGTAAATTTCATAGGCAAAATCTCTCAACTCAAGGCCTGTTTGGGAGGGATGAGCTGAATGTAAGCTTTTCTTCAGCTGCATAAATAACAAAAAACTACATTTGTTGACAAGTGATTTTACTGCCTAGGAAGTCAGATAATCTTGGCAAGGCGCTTTGGATAAGCTATTAAAAGAGGCCGAAGTGGCTAGCCCTTCAAATGGCTAATCAACAATCTATTTTGGCTCTATGGTCTTCTCACCAAACATAGCTTATATAGCTTATAGCATGGTTTTCAAAACCGGATTTTTGTCAGGTGACCAGTTTTGTTTTCTCCAAAACCGGATTTTTGTCAAAAACTATTGATTTGCTGACCTGGGTGGTTAATCGTTCGAACAGCTTTGACCATTATTTATTTATTTTTTATTTATTTATTTTTTGTCAAAACGGGTTGACCGTTCGATTCGGGAACCGGACCCCTGACCGGTTCGTTCTTTGGGTCAGTTTTAGAAACCTTGGCTTATAGGCTTAGGAATGGCAACGGGGCCCCGTCCTTGCTAACGGGGACAAGGTTATCCCCATCCCCGTACCCACGGGGGATCCCCATTCCCCGTACCCACGGGGGATCCCCATTCCCCGTGATTTTTTATAATGTTAATCATTTTGTTTTTTTTTTATTTTTATTTAAAAAATAAAAATAAAATAATTAAAATTTATGATCCTATTAAAAAGATTCAAACATATTCAACCATATTTTTGAAAATATTAATATATAGATGTATGTGTACATACATACATACATACATACATACATATATATATATATATATATATATATATAT